GTAGAGGGTCTATTCACGGGATATTCTGGAAAATTCACCGAAAGTTTCATGATGAACCATATGTCGATGATTAGTAGCGATATTTTAACGGTTGCAAATGCTAACGTTACAATAAAAGGTGGTATTATGCTTGAAAAGAGAAATAATCCCAATGTTAAAATAAAGTCCGAGCGTACTAGTCTAAAAGTAAGTGTAGATGATTTCTATTTTTTTATTTTTTTTTTAAGGGAAGAATAAATTTGTAATTCTTAATTGTAGCACCTCGATCGTATCGATCAAAAAAATTTTCCACTAGACGGAAAATATTCATTCCCCGCTAGCTCTGGTAAAGGAGTGAATGTTTTCATAATTGATACGTAAGTGATTAGCATGAGGCGCAGTTATCCTTAAGACATTAATTTTTTTTTTTTTTGGTCCTTTTTAGCGGAATTAATGTTAAACATGTAGATTTCGAAGGAAGAGCTAAATTCGAAGCTGTTTTTTGCGATGGATGTCCATTAAAAGATGATCACGGGTAAATTTTTATTTAATAATAAATACTGCTTTTTCTTTACACGTAAAAATAATTTTAATTCATTATTATAGTCATGGTACAATGGTTGCCGGTATTGTAAGTACAAGACGAACGAGTCTTTATAAATTTTGGGCAATTTGTTAAATTGTTCTCTCCCATTTTTTACTATGAATAGATTGGCGGTCGTAAATTTGGTGTCGCAAAAAAAACAACTTTAATTGGTGTCAAGGCATTCGATGCTACAGGTTCTGGCACATTGATAGACTTTCTTAACGCACTTTGTTATGTAATTCATCAACATATGAAGTCCGAGAATAAGAAATCGGTGATCAAGTACGTATCATTAAGAAATGTATTTACAAGTATTGATCATCTAGCGCTAATAATCATCTTTCGAATTCTTTTGAACAGCATGTCCTTTGGTTTTGACAAAATTATAGAAGCCGTTAATATGTTGGTTGAAAAAGCCATTAGTCTTGGTATAAACGTAGTTGTGGCTGGTGGAAATGAAGCTGAAGATTCTTGTACTAAATCTCCGGCCTTGGTTCCAGGTGCAATAACCGTTGGCGCTACTGAACTTGTTAATAATCACATTGCAAATTTTTCTGATTTTGGTCCTTGCATTGATATATTTGCTCCTGGTATATATTATTTCATTTCATGCTTTTTTGTAACTTTTTTAACTTTTTTTTTTAAAAAAAAATTTTGTACCACTCACCGGTTATAGGAAGAGATATAAAATCGGCTGGAACAAATTCTTCGGTAGATACTAGAATTGAAAGTGGGACAAGTTTTTCTGCTCCACAAGTTGTTGGTGCTGTTGCTTTGCTCCTCGGTGAGAAATTTTTGTCTACCGATGAAGTAACTAATGAGCTTATTAAAATTTCCACGAAAAATGTTATCAAAGGTATTGATAATTTACCAGGAACTCCTAATAGATTTTTACGCGTTCCCAATTTTTGATTATTCGTTTAAATTTTGTATTTATTTAAATATTACAACAATTGTATAATTATAATAAAATGTACGATATCTTAATGATGAAAACGCTTCATCTGAAATTTTTAATTTTGTTGTCGCTTCGAAATGAGAAAATATTATTTTAAATATTTTTTTATATTATCGCATTCTTTTTAAAAAAAAAAATTTTTTTTTTTAAACCGGAATATCCGAAAGTAACAAGGAAATATTTATAAAGAGGAATATGATGGATATTTGCGCTAATTGATTATCGAGCTATAAGTTAAGTTTATTATTCATTATGGAGAACAAGTTTATGCAGTAACGCAGTAACACTATATTCAATGCAGAAACTTTAGTTTCCTAATGCAGTAACTAGATATTGACTAATACTTAAACAAATTAGGTCATGACAATAACGATAGAAAATCTTTATAATGGTAACAGTCAGTTAATTGTATGAAGAATTCAAGAATTTTTCTCAAAATATGAAAATAATTTCATCATATTTCATCTTCAACCTGTTTATTGAAATCTCTAAGACGGCACCCATCAACGATGTCGAAACATATCGTGGAGATGACTTACTTGATTCTATCATATCAGCACTCGTTCCAATGTTTATTTATCTTGCTACCTCGAATGAGTTAAAGAACAAAAAATTCACAGTAATTGTTTACAAAATTATAAAAATTTTCATAAGTGTATATTTATTGTTTATAGTAATTTACTCATTTTTGGCTCTTGAAAGCAATATTCATCTCAATTTTACCATGAAGATACCGATTATGTGTCATAGTGTTTTTTTTTCCATATTGGAAATATCTATTACGATTTATGATAAAATTTTAAAGGAAGATATCAATATGAAAAATGCCAATATGGGAATAAGAATTGCGTTCTTTCTATTAAGTATCGTACTATATCTTAGACCAATTTTAGCTTTGGTTTTTCTATTTCAAAATCGTGTTAGCATTACAATTGAGATGGCATCATGGATCTACTTCCTCTTAATAGCTGCATCATTACTTTCGGTGGGAATTTGTTATTTTGGTATTAAAATGAATTCTTCTTCACCTATTTTCAAAAAATTCGACAACAAATCCCATAAAAAATTGAGATTATACCTACTTTTTTTATGTGTATTCTTAGTTTATATCCCCTTGGTTATTTTGCTTTATATAGAGATCGCTTTTTGGTTCGATTTGAATTTTTACTTGAGCAAAATCTTGTGGAATGTATTAATAATGAATTTTACTATTAACGTTTTGAAATATTTTGACAAAGAACCAACAAATAACCCTCAGAATGAGAATGTCAAGTTAGAGGCGGTTGATACTTTGTAAAGTTTCGGAAAAAAGGAAGGCGAGCCAGAATATGATGTGTAATGAACTATGATAATGGAATAGTATGTTTTAATAGAATAGATAAATATTAACTTGGTTTAGAACAGATACGAAATATTTTAAATATTAAGAATGTTTTACTGAATAGTATCTATGTTAATAATTAGTTTTCAAATTTAAAGTTTTTTGTAGTTTTAAATATCTTTATTTTTTGTCATTAAAGAAAAAATTATAGGTGTATGTCCATATATTATCATGGGAGTTGCACAAAAATAATAACTTTGACTGCGCCAAAATTATTCGCTGCGTGGTACCGACAAAATTTTCGCATTATTACTTCCCCACACCATCAAAAAAAGCTCCGGTCATGTGATTATATATGTATAATGTGGCTAATTTAATAAACTTAATGCCACGCCACAAGGTGAGAATGGCGTCTGTGACAAATAACTAGTGACTAATAGGTTTTCACATCCTAAAAAAATACTAACTGTTCTCAGATTAAATAGTAAAAAATGAAATATAGTAGGTGTGACGCAGTGTGACTGATTATAACTACCCCCATAAAAAAGTTATTATCTCATGATCGAACTGTGGCACAATATTTTTTAATTGGGTACCAAAATTTGTTATACCGTCTATTTTTTAAATTTATTTTTTTTTTTTGTGCAAGTTCGTCCTAGTATATTCAAAGTTAAAATATTATTCTATTTTAATAAATTATTTTTTATTTCAGTATTTACAATAAACATTAAATAGATTTTAAAGATTTTTTTTATATAATGTTTTCTTTAGGTGTGAAATTTTTAACAACAAATATTTTCAATCATCGTTTATTTAACAGTAGAATAGTTTTTTTACTCTGAATTATTTTCGAACTATCATATTAATTCAAAAACTGTGTATTATTAGTATGTTCTTTCCACATATATTGCATTGTCCTTTTTCTTCTATACCATTTTTGTAATTGGCGCAAATTTTTCTCTACTCCTTTTACCCAACGAAAGCTACTGGCTATTTTTTTGTTCTTGAAGAAGAACGAGGGCTTTAGTTGTTGTTTCTATCAATTTATCATAAATAGCATTACAATCTTCTAATAAAGGTTCTGAATCTTGAAAGGGTTCAGGGTTAAAATACAAAACTGGTTGATTCATATGCAATTGGATAGAATCTTTATCTATCTCTGTTAAGAACGGAGGTTCGTGATTTCTTTTTAAACATTCTGGCTTAACGGGTGGATTAAGTGAAGTGTTTGCATATATTAAATCAACTAGTTAAGTAATATGGACAACCACATACCCATTTTTTCACATTTGTTATATATTTATTATTAATTTGTCGTACTTTCCATTCTGATTAAATTGCTTATCCATTCCAATTTTTCACTTCTATATTGCATTTGTTTCACTTTTGTTAACAATACATATACAACAAGATCCAGGCGTGATCAAAAAAACTTGTAAAGAAAATCTCGTTTTATAACATTCTAATAGCCTTCTACAGACATAGTAGTTTTAAGGTTAAATACCTTTTTCACATACAGATCTTGCGAAAAAAAAGAATATTTTTTACAAAATTCATAAATTTCTTGAATAGCGGCTATATGATTTTCTATGCTTGTAAAGTAAATGCCTTCAGATGTTGGTATTAAAAGTATGTTGATGAAGGTGATTTTTCATTATTTTCCAAATTGCTTGATGATGTTCTTTAGAACAAAAGTTATTAGATAGTATAATTTTATTAATAGGAAAACAGGAGCCAAGTTCCGATAATAGATTAAATGTGACATTTCTAGGCATTCATTATTGGACAATCGTGTTAAAACTGCTCTTTTTATGTGCTATTTACACAATTGAAGTTTTATTTCTTTCCTGATTGTATTCCTACCGTATATTATATAACTTTGTAAAAACTTTTGAATAACTGTAAAGCATATTCCTTTTTCATATCGCTCATTATTTTCTAAAAATAAGTACGTAAGAGGAAATCCTATCCCATTAATTTCATCAAAAGTATACAATTCAAACTCAAAATTGTTGGTATTATCTTTAATCAATTATATGTAAATTAGATCCAAAATTAATTAGTTTAATTTAATTAACACAATGTTTATAAAAAATAGCAGATTTATAATACTTACATTTTGCGTCAATAACATATTCACGAATTTTCATGTTATTTGGTTAAATTTTTCATATAATCCTGTTATAAAGGATATAGCATGAACAGGTATAGTTTCTTTTAATATAATATTATAATTCTTTTCCTTAAAGCCATTCTATTGTACTTATACATGTTCTAACTTTGATCACTAAAAATGGGATCTACTTTTGGGATCTAAACCTTTATTAACAAGTTGTACCCACACGGAGTTAGGACCGATCACGTGATTTTGAGTTTTATGATGGCCATATGCCCAAAGGTCTAGCTTTTTAGAAATAGTACTAGATAAAATGTTCGAAAAGGATCGATAAATTTGACCTGATTTGTCGATCACTGCGATAGATCTAAGACCCGCCAAGCAGAGACAGAAGGAAACTAAGGCCTGTGAGGCAAGCTTTCAGAATAAAATCAAGTAACTTTGCAATAACAGGATCTAAGCAAAAGTGCTCACAGGACCGTTAAGACCAAATAAACCTAGCCGCGGAATCCAGAAACCGAGAAAATATAAAAGGAGTGAGAAATCAGAGAGATAAAGGACATAAAATTAACTTTTTATCATTACCTTTTACTTTAAAAACTCTCGCAATTTTCGCTTATTATTCTCATTAAATAATATGAAATATGTCATTTATTTTAATAATAATAATGCAAATAAAAATATCTTAGCTGCTTTTATGCTTTATTCCTCCCTTGAAACAACCTTTCTCATGTATTACTTTGCAATAAAGATGTTCATATAGCATATAAGGCCAAAACTTCGACTTTTGTGATAAATAATTTTGGCGACAGATCAGTTGCTAAAATTTCTATACTGACTTATCTAAAGTATAAGATCGTCTGCTACTTGCTAATCTTAACAGAGAAAGCGTTCTTTCCTTTGATGAGGTAGGTAGACATTCTTCGACTTATATAACAACATAAGACACTTTATCAAATAATGTAAGCAAAAAACTTTTTATTCATGATGATTCATGTGATTATATTAATTAAAGCTATGAGGAGATAATTATTTTTACAATATAAAAAAAAGATATAACTTTATGAAAAACTTTTATCACATTTGAGTGAATTTTAAATTCGCTTATTAAATTTTCTTCATTTCTAGCACAGAGTATTAAAATCTAATTATTTAAAATAGCAAACTGAACGTAAAACATATCAATAGGAATGGGATTAGGTAAAGTAGGTGGAGGAAGTTGAGGAGGTGGTAGTGGCGGTGGATTTAAAACATTTGCTGGTATCCCGTGGTAAAGGCATACCAATTGAATATTGATAACGCATTGCCCAGGTTGCAGTTGGATCTGAGCTCCATTACGATTAATAGTTCCAAATTCATACTAATAAAAGAATACCTTAAATTTATTTTCTACAGATTTAACTTTTACTAAAAGCATATAAAAATATAACATACTATCATGGGATTAAATGCACTGGTAACGGTTCGATTATTTATACAATAATACCAAGCCTATTAAGAATATAACAATAATGGACATTACTAACGAAATTGAGCAGAAACTGAATCTTGTCATTTCTTACCATCATCACTGAAGGAACTGTAGCTAGTGCAATGGGTTCATCTATTTTAATTGTAATAACATCATGAGCTTTACCGGCTTGAAGCCAGTAAGTTTCGGCTTTTGTTCTGACGTCTGCTTCAGATTGTGTGTACGCAACTTCGATTATTAGATTCGGCCAAGGCTGAGTCTAAAAATGTAATGTCAAATTAATACTGTAAAATCTTAAATAAAATCAGGAAATGATAAGCCAATAACTATTCATACATCACTTCTGTCACATCTGCCCCTAATCAATCGAGGTTTTGCTACTGGTATCCATGAGTCGTCAGCTTTTTTGCCTGTTCTAGGAGTTTTTGTTGCTTTTACCAAGGGTTAGTAATAGATTTAGCTAACTCTAATAGTATCAAAGGAAATTAATAACACTCACTTGTAGATCCATCATTAAGAATGCTAACGTTAGTGCTCCTCATATTTCTAGTTGCTATAGCAACTTCATTACTTACAGCACGAATACAACGTTCATGAAATTTTGTAGGTAATTCAATGATACAGATGGTCCCATTTTCCCACTCCCACCAGTTGTGAATATTATATTTATCCGTACGTTCAACATAAGTATAAAAAGGTACCTCAGTAGATAGCTCATACGGTAAACTTGAACAATAAATCAATAATTAGCTTACAAAAATAGTCAAGTTGTTGAAGTAAATAATAAAATGACTTACGTTGCCTCTTTCCACCTGGCCTTCGAGTGCATTTTACCAGTTTTTCACTAGTAATTGTGATATCTTTTCAGTTCGCCGGGCTCAAAGACATCGGAAGTAGATGTAAAAGAGGTGGTTGCAGTATTTAGGGTTGATTGGATACTTTGACTAGTTGGCATATTTCCCGGAATAGTAAAATCATCGTTCTCATCATGTTTATGTATACAGTTTTATATATTTAGAGAAAAGAGTAATCACAAATATTACGCAATTTCAAAGGCTACAGTAATTATATTGATTATTAATTATTTTATATATTTCCGTCGCACAATTTGATCAAGTTAATTTGATTAATGTAATGATTTTAATCGAAAAATAACGGTGGCTTAGCTATAATCAATCTTATTTCGTGATTTATAGAAACTCAGAACTAGGGGAGATCTCATGTGATACGATATATGTCATGCCATGCTGTGCATATGCATGTAAATATAAAATTAGCTAGATACAGTATGACCCTATATAAAATCCCTAAAAATGAATCTGATATTTATTAGAGTATAATATTGCTAAATCAGCTAAAATCGCTAAAAAATACTAAATCAATAAAATCTGTATATTTTGCTAAATATGATAGTTGTTACCTTGGCAAGCGCTACTAACATTAATATAATTATTGATAAAAAACAATAGTGGTTACCTAAGCCCATCAGTAACCATCCTGGATATGATATGAAATATTATAGAACATATCTCGAAAATTACTATGGTAGCATGGATTTCAAAAAATTTCTTGCTAATGAAAAAATCTATGACAAATTATCAATAATGAGAAAGTGAAAGTCTCCAATGCAGTGGGAATTACGAGTTAAAAATACTCTCCAATATTTATTATCATAAAATAAAAATAGCATATACCATAGCATAGTTTCTACTTGTTTGCAGGATTTGGTAAAGGCAAATTTGACAAATCATATCATTTTTATTATCATCCTAAAATCTATAAAAATAATATGGCAATCTGCTTTTATTGCTGAAAACCATTTCAAGTTAATGAAATAAAGATAACCAAATCATACCACCATAAATAGTATAGATTTATTGAATTGATTGAAGCTAAGAACATGATGCAGGAACATTAAAATCAAGAATGTTCTAATTCTTTAAGTGATATTGAATATGCAAGGATTAAGCAACAAGCTTTTGATAAATTTTAGGAAAATGATCTAATAGGTGTTTACTGTAATAAACTACAACCCTACCCTCTTAAATACCAGGATTTTATAAAGAATGAATCACACTTGTCGACTCTAAACAAAATATTTATCTCATCTCTATATGCAAAACAAATAACTTATTACCATTAGTCGCATGTGACTTACATAATATAATTATATTATGTAAGTCACATGCGACTTGCGTTAGGTCATGAAGGTAACTT